ATCATGGCGTCTGGCCGACGTTAAGAACCTTTATAAATTCTGGTAGTTGCTTGGTAGAAAAGTTCTCTAACATTGGAAATCTTCTCTTTCCGTTCAACCAGAAGAAAAGAATTAAGAGTAGAAAAAATTGCCCACGCCTGAGTTGGTTGGATGGAGAGTCGACACTGCTTGGGACTTGTGGTCATGTCCTTCGGCTTTAGTGTACGCTATGACTTTTGAGCTAGGTCAACTACCGTTGAGGATCCCTCGACAATGAGTCTTTTTAGCCCAGGTGTGAAGAAGGGTCGTGGTTGGGATATCGGGGTGAGATGGGTAGCAGAGTCAACCCTGCGTTGCGCAGTTCTCAACGGCCACGTTGCGCAGTTTCGCCCGATTAGACACGTTCTCTCGCGCGAACATTCACACTCGCATGCTCGAGCCGTCTGTGTCTCCGCCCATACAGCGTGCGTTGAGGATCTCTCAACGTGCCGTTGCGAACTGCGCAACGCAGGGTTGACTCTGATGGGTAGGCGTAGGCGCCGGCAGTGGGCAGCCAAATGAAATAGCCGCGTAAATTCAAGATTTGCGATGTCAACGGTGGCCCGGTCGACGGACTACTTGAACTCGGTCCGTTAAACCGCCTCAATCCCATTCTCCGTCTGCGCTCTCTCGCCTTATCAGCGGCTGATGACCACTGCGATCTCACACATTCAAACTTTTGCCACACTGTAATTGGCTCACCCACCTCGGAGTCCTCCCTCCCCCCTACAAGGCTTAGTCCTAAGGCTCTCACCTCCCTCCTTGGGATTTGGAGCCGAGCCAGGCGCCGTTCTCTAATTGTCTGCCCTCCGCCATTCGTGGCAGGACCATAGAAGAAAGTTCAAGTAACCCGTGAACCATTCATCCCCACACAACTCTCCTGTTCCGCCCCCTCCTTCTCGAATACAGTTTTGGGAACAGCCTAGGGGTAGGGGTTCGGTGCATCATGTGTTTTAGCAGGTTATGCACTAACAGGACCAGCGATATTTATGCCATCGACCCAAGGATGGCGTGTTGACCGCGAGGACGTTAGAAGAGCGTCGGATTACTGCCGCCCACGGTCAGTTTGTCGAGTCCCCCGTCTAACTTGCATGTACCAAAATTTGCAATCATCACGCTAAGTAGACAATGATAGATTATCTTAGTATGGTGCTGTCCCGAAGCCTCATAAAGATCTGAATGTTAAACAACAATTGAGGCTCCAAAATTTATTTCAAAAAGCTTCAAAACACTTAATTTCGAAAGCTTTCCAAAAACTTGCAATATTTCGGTGCTTAGCACCTTCGTCAGGCCTGAAATAGCTTTTCTCACACAAGCTGGACAATATACGGGATATATTGAAACTACTCACACGCGTCCGCCTCGT